TCGTCGGGCATGTCCTCCTACAGGCAGATTGTGACAGAACGATAGAACATGTCGAAACAGATTCAAGCAAGAATCCAAAATCAGCCGACCCTGTCGGCGTGTGGAAGAGGCTGTTCCGTTTGACTTATCGTCGTCGTCGTCGTCGTCGTCGTCGTCGTCGTCGTCGTCGTCGTCGTCGTCGTCGTCATCGTCGTCGTCGTCGTCGCGGTCGTTGTCGTCGTCGTCGTCGTCGTCGTCGTCGTCGTCGTCGTCGTCGTCGTCGTCGTCGTCGTCGTCGTCATCTTCGCCGCTCGCGTCCCCCCTTTTCCCTAAGCCCGTCGCCGTTCCCCCCACTTTCACCAGGTTCTCCTCCTCGAGCGCGCCAGCCACAGCGAAATTGAGCAACGTCGTAGTTGAGTCGAAGGGAAGCCCCCTCCCTTTGATCCCTTCCCCGCCGGAGGGGAGGGTCCTGGGGGTGAGGTCCTGGGGGGGGGGGGCCTGGGGGGGGTTCCAGGGGATTGGTCATGGGGGGGTCCCGGGGCAGATGCGACTCCCCCTCGGGCGGTTGGGCGGCCAAGAAAGCCCCTCCGCTAGTTGAGTCGAAGATCCCTTCCCCGCCGGGGGGGAGGGTCCTGGGGGTGAGGTCCTGGGGGGGGGCCTGGGGGGGGTTCCAGGGGATTGGTCATGGGGGGGTCCCGGGGCAGATGCGACTCCCCCTCGGGCGGTTGGGCGGCCAAGAAAGCCCCTCCGCTAGTTGAGTCGAAGATCCCTTCCCCGCCGGGGGGGGGGCCCGGGGGGTGAGGTTCCGGGGGATGGTCCCGGGGGGTTCCCGGGGGAGGGGTCCCCCGCGGGGGGTCCCGGGGCAGATACGACTCCCCCTCGGGCGGTTGGGCGGCTAAGAAAAGCCGCAGGACGCGGCAGAACTGCTCCAAGATGCCCCTAAGACAGTCCTCGAGGGCCCCGAATCGCTGAAGTATCGATCCAAGTCGCCAAAGTAGCCTCCAGACGGCTCAAAAGGTGTTCAAAACGCCCCAAGAGGCCTCCAAGAGGACTTCCAACAGGGTCCCAAGGGGCAACAATCATCGATTTCCCGTAAATGTTTGAAAGATTTCGGAATTCAGGCCAAGAAGCCCCCAAGACCGCCCCAAGATGGCCCAAGAGGCCTTCAAGAGAGCCCCAAAACGACGCAAGAGGGCCCCAAGACCGACCAAAAGGCTTCCAAGACAGCCGAAGAGGCCCCCAAGACGGCTCCAAGGAGGAGCCCAGACAGGGGACCCGAACGGATATTTCGAGCCCTCGGCCTGAGAAGCGCTCAGGAGGCCCCCAGAGGTACCTAAGAAGCCCGCCGAGAAGCCCCAACAAGCCCCTAAGAGACCCCCAGGAAGCCCCAAGAGGCCCTCAAGAGGCTTCCAAGCGGCCCCCAAGAGCTTCCAAAGACCCCCAACCTACCCCCAAGAGGCCCCCGAGAGCCCTCGTCGTCGTCGTCGTCGCCATTCAGGGTCGGCGGCACCGGCCGTAAGGCCTTCGCAATTATCAAAAATCGTGACCAGGCTTGTTTTGCATATTCTTGAGTATTCCTCCTGTGGAAGGACGTGCCCGAGTTGAGCCTAGCCTGCATCAGGCGCCCCTCCTCCTCCAGGAGCCTGCCCAGCGCGGGTCTCCCGGGCACAGCCAGACCTCGCAGGCCCGCCGCTGCGGGCTTCCGCTCCCACGGCATGCCCAGGAGAAAGGCCTCTCAGACCCACCCAGACGTCGAAGACGAAGCCAGGACGAAGACAAACTGAAGTGAGGATACATCGAGAATCTCTGAGATCTGGCGGCTCTGGAGGATGCATCGGGCGTCACTGCCTTCTCAGAGATTCCCAGAACGCTCTGAGAGCGTTCCAGAACGCCCTGGAACGGACTGAGCCCTCGTCCGAGCCCCGTCCGAACATGCGATGTCTCGAGTTTCTCAACGCGGGGCCCGCGAGGTCTAGCCCTGTTCCCCAAGGCTGGCTCTTCCTGCTGACCCTTTCTTGGACAGTCCTGGAACCCGGCGAGGAGCTCGAGAGACCGAAAACAACGGAAAACCTCCGCCTCCGCCTGTGTAAGGAGTGCGCCACAAATGGCCAACCAACCCACTAGCCAACCAACCAACCAACCAACCAACCAACCAACCAACCAACCAGCCAACCAACCAGGCAACCGCCCACCGAACCAACCAACCGCTCAATCAAGCTTGAAAGGCCTTGCTTCGGCAACTGGACAACGACAACGGTGACGACGGCGACGGAACAGAAAGGAATGGGATGAAATTGGGTGAGATGGGATGGAAGATGATCCCCACCTCCTCCTCCTCCTCCTCCTCCTCCTCCTCCTCCTTCTCCTCCTCCTCCAACTCCTCCTCCGCATCCTCCTGCTCCTCCTCCTCCTCCTCCTCCTCCTCCTCCTCCTCCTCCTCCTCCTGTTTCTTCCTCCTCCCCCTCCTCCCCGCCCTCCTCCTCCCTCTCCTCCTCCTCCTCCTCCTCCTCCTCCTCCTCCTCCTCCTCCGCCTCCTCCTCCTGCTCCTCCTCCTCCTCCTCCTCCTCCTCCTCGTGAAATGGGATGTGATGGGATGGAACGGATTGGAGTGGAACTGGAACGGAACGAGAGCAAGAGCACCGGCAGGAGGCGGTGGTTCCATCCCGTTCCGTTCCATCTTCCAAACCCAATCAACCCCATTCCAACCAAGTCCGTTCCAGTCCATCCCATCGTACAGCATTACATCCCATCCCTTCCCATTATATATCATTCCGTCGTCGTCGTCGTCGTCGTTTTCGTCGTCGTGTCGTTCTCGTCGTCGTCGTCGTCGTCATCGTCGTCGTCGTCGTCGTCGTCGTCCGTCGTCGTCGTCGTCGTCGTCGTCGTCGTCGTCGTCGTCGTCGTCGTCGTCGTCGTCGTCAACGTCGTCGTCGTCCGTCTCCGTCTCGTCGTCGTCGTCGTCATCGTCGTCGTCTGCGGCGGTGCCGTGTGACAAACCGAATTGTTTGTCACACCCCTGGCGTTCCCACGTGAAGAGGACAGTGGGCAAGAACCGTTCGGCTCCCAAGCACTGCCACGTGGCGAGTGGAGTTGAAGTTGATTTTGTCCCCGCGGCGTTGCGGCGTTGCCACGTGACGACTCGAATGGGAGACTCGGTGTTGCCAAGCGGCGAGGGGAATGGAATAGTATGTGTTGGTCGCCCCGTCCCCCCCTGGCGTTGTTAAATGACGACACGAGCGGAATAGTTGTTTCTCCACTCCTCGTCCTCCTCATCATCATCCCCCCTCATCCTGGCTCCTCCAGCGCTGCTCCTTGGGTGGCTGTGAAAAGCGCACCCGTCGCCACTTTCGTGGGTCTCTGGGATGTCCGGCGGAGTCGACGGCTTGGCGCACTCAGAAGGGACCCCGTTGCTCCCTGGGTGGCTGCGAAGTGTGGTAACTGTCACCACGTTCGTGGGCTCCTGGGAGGTCCAGCAGGATCGGGGGCCACGCGCACCCAAACGGGACCTCGCTCTTCCCTGGGTGGCTACGAACTGCGGAAACTGTCACAACTTTCGTGGGCCCCCTGGGAACTGCAGCGGGGCCGGAGCCACGCGGACCCAGACAGGACATCGCCGCTTCCCGGGCGGCTGCGAACTGCGCAACTGCCACCACTTTCTTGTGTTCCTGGCAAGTCCAAAGGGGTCGGGGGCCACGGGGACCCAGACGGGACCTCGCTGTCCCCTGGGTGGTTGCGAACTGCTCAACTGTCACCACTTCCGTAAGCTCCTGGGAGAGCCAGCGTGGTCGGGGGCCACGCGGACCCAGACGGAACCTCGAGGCTCCTGCTGCCTGGGTGGCTGCGAACTGCGCAAATGTCACCACGTCCGTGGGCTCCTGGGAGGTCCAATGGAGTCAGAGGCAACGCGCAGCCTGCGAGGACCTCGCTGCTCCCTGGGTGGCTGACCTCAGTTAGCGTGCGGCGCTGTTGCATCACTGAGCGCAGAGCGCTGGAGCGTCACGTAGCGCATGCCGCTGTCTTCAATGACCCCCTCCCCCCTTCCGCAGGCGCCCGTCACCTGCAGCGGCAGCGCGGGCGAATCGATCAAATGTAGCGCATGGCGATGTTACCCTCACTAGCGTTTTCCCGCTTCCCTCGCAGTCCTCCTTTCCCTCCTCCGCATCTGCCTCCTCCTGCTAGCCCTCTATCCCTCCTCCTCCGCTTTGTCCCCCGTTCTATGCTGCGCGGGTGTGCGGCGAGCGTGGCCCGACATCATATCGCCTTCCCGAGTGTTGCATGTGTGCTGATGTGTTGATGTCGTGTGAAACGTTCATTTCAATTGTCACCTCACGTGCAGAAGGAGGTTGGTACGTCTCGGGTAATGTTCAACCCCGAGGCGTGGCCATGTGACGTATAGGATGTTCCTTCTCTGGAAGTGCACTACATTACATTGCGTTGGAGTGCGTTGGAATTCAGCTGCGTTTGCATTGCACTGCAGTGCATCGCGTTGCGTCGAATTCCACTCGCAGATGCCTGGGACTTCGTTTATAAACGAGCCGACTACGAGTTCACCACCAACAAATGTCCAAGTGGCCAACCAGCCGACCGATCAACCAACAAACCAGCCTACCTACCAACCAACCAGCCAACCAACCAGCAAGCCAACTAGCCAACTAACGAACCAACCAACCAGTCCTTCCCGTGGCATTTTGAGGGTCCCATACCGCGGGGCCTGGATTACATGTTTTGCAGCAGCCATCCAGCCAACCAACCAGCCAACCACTCCAGGAAACATGTCTTGAGCCAGCAGCAAGCCAGCCAATCAGCCAGCCGGCCAGACCACACCTTGGGGCGTTGATTGCCGACGTCTCACATGGCAGGCCCTGGAAGATATGTTCGAAACCAAGAGCCAGCGCTTCCAACCCCGAAATCATACATCATTCTCATCCAAAGAAGAACTGTCTCGACCCTTATAAACCCACCCCCGTCTCAAGACCCCCCCTCCACAGTCCTCCTCGTTCTCTAGCTCGACGATGATGGGCCTCGGGGCGGAGGGTGACGGGAGGAGGCGGGAGAGCAGGACGAGGACGACGAGACGAAGACAACGATGGGAAAGACGAGGGGAAGGAATGAAGAGGAGCAGTGAAAAGGAGAAGGAGGACCACCAGGGGTTGTGGGGAAACCAACAAGGTACCGATACCAATACTCTCCGGACCGCTCCCAGGGTGCGTTCCAACCAGAAGTTCGCGGCGAATCCAGCGGCCTCCCAGGAGACCCAAGAAGGGGAAAACGATAGAGAAAGGTAGTGGTATGAGTACCTTTTCCTCCTCCGAGGTTGCATGAGAGGCGAGACTCGCCATCGCTAGGACGTCCATTGCCCGTGCCTGATTCGGCTTCGTGCGTATTTTCTCGCAAGATGGCCCAAAAGGCTCCTCGATGGCCCTCGCGGAGGAAAAGACGCACGCTCCCGAGCGATGCCAAGGAGAGGGCCGCTCATGCGGGCGCCCGGCCACGTGGACCAGCGGCGCTGCGCGGCCTCGGCCCCCCCCCCGGCTCCGTGTCAGGGATCGCGCGGGAGGCGCGCGCTGTGGATGCCATGACAATGGACACCATAACAATCCGTTCATTGAGTTAAACATGTGCTCAATATGTATGAAGATGTTCTGCACGTGTGTAGAGCATGTGTTGTACATGTTTGAGACATGTTGCAAAACATGTCTTGCACATCTGGAAATGATTTGGCAGCACGCTACCACTCCTCTTTCGACGAGCGCGCTCCACTGCTCGCACGATACCTACTCGCAACTGGCCTGGATCCCCCGCGGGGGATCTACGATATAAAGTTACATCAGAGCAGACAGGTGTGTTTTTTTTCCGGACGCTTGCGAGTAGGCACTCTGCGAGTAGCGGAACGCGCTCGGCGACTCTTGATCGTTAGAACACGTGTTTTACACGTGTGAGACATGTGTTTTACACGTGTTTAGACACGTTTGGAACTGTTTAGAACATGTTCAATCTGAAGATGCTCTGCACGTGTTTAGATCATGTGTTTTTTTACACGTTTGAGACATGCATAAAACAAATATGCTTTACACATCTGGAACTGCTTTGGCAGCACGCCTCCTCTCCTCTCGACCGTCGTCCACAGGGAGGCGCGCGCCCCTCGCCGCCCAGGGCCGCCCGGGGTGCACGCAGCGCCCGCTCCGGGCTCGCCTCGCCGCCCCCGGGGGCGGCGCGGCGGGGAGCGCAGGCCCGAGCGGGGGAGCCGCGCGGCGGCGCGGGGCGGGGCGAGCGCCGGGGGCCCCGGCGAGGACGAGGCCCCTCGGCGCCCGGGAGGTCGGGGCGCGGGGTGCGGGGCATGCCGGGGGCATGGCGGCGCCCGTCGTGGCAGGCGAGATGCGATCTACGACGGATGGCGTCGCCGGGCTCGGCATGGGCACCGACCCCCTGGTTTTGCCGCGCCCCCCTCTCTCCCCTTGACCTTCCAGAGAGCTATGTTTCAGCACTGGAGGCCTGAAGACCTAACACATGGAGCGGAACGGCCTAAAGCCAAGACGTAGAATAGCTTTGGGACAGGTTTTTAGGTCGGGTGCTATCTTTTAGCCCTCCTGGAAGGTCAGGGTCCTGCCCCCGGGCGCCCGAGGGGAGGCCCCCCATCGCCCGGGGCCGGGGCAGAGGGGGCGGAAGAGCGGCACACGCTCAGAGCTGCAGGGAGGAGGGGTGCGGAAGGGCCAGGCGGGGCAGGCGCGATGGGTCTGGGGCATGCTGTCGGGCCCCGAGGGGGGCCTCCCAGTCGAACGGGGATTCCCATCCACCACGCACGCACACACACACACACACACACACACACGCCCATAGCCCCTCCCTGGAGTTCCACCCTGAGGAGCATGGGCGTGGGGATCACATAGGTGCGGGTGCTAGTTGCTGGCCTCGTGCTAGAATGACCTCAGTCAGGCAAGACTGGCCTGTGGCGCGCGGCTTGAAAGGGCCGCGGGGGGGGGGGGGGGGGGGCGCGGCGGGGGGGGGAATCCGAGCGCGCCAGCCAAAGCTGGGGACCCCTGTGGGCCCGCGCCGAGGGCCGCTCCAGCGAAGGGTGACTCCTACGTGTCGCCGACAAAGAGACGCCGACACCGCTGCTCCTCGGGCCAACCCTCGGGGCGCGTTCTGGCCAGGGCTCTGGCGCGACTCCGGACGTGGCGGCGAGGGCCTCCCCGGCCAGAGGCGGAAACGAGGAAGGGCCTCAGCACCGGCTCGGCGTGACCAGATCATCATAATAGGATGCGCGGTCGGGCTGCCAGCCCCCATGGGCGCCCGAACTGAAGCCGAAGCTGGCAGCCCATGGCCAAAGACGAGGACGAGCTCGGAGGCCCCGTGGAAGGCTGCCCGTCCTCACGCTGCCGCTTGGCCGCAGGTCTGCGCTCTCCCTGGCCGCGTGCCTCGCCCGGGAAGGGGTGGGAGGGCGGGGGCCCCGTCACCCGACGCCTCGACCTTTGCAGCGCGGGGCCCCCGCAGCAGCTCCGACGCTCTCCCCCCGCAGGGGTCGGTGTGGCATCCCGCGCGCCGTGTTTCTGCACGGCCCCCCGGGCCCGGCGAGGCCCCCCCGAAGCCGCAGACGGGGAAAAGCCCCCGCCTCGCCCCGACTTGCTCAAGACGTGGTTGTCTGCGGGCGGGCGAGGGCCCCCTCCTCCTCCTCCTCCTCCTCCTCCTCCTCCTCCTCGCCCTCTTCTCCTCCTCCTCCTCGCCCTCTTCGCCCTCCTCGCCTTCCTCGCCCTCCTCCTCCTCCTCCTCCTCCTCCTCCTCGCCCTCCTCCTCCTCCTCCTCGTCCTCGCCTTCCTCCTCGCCCGGCTCGCCGAGGGGCAACGACGGGGGGACTGGCAGAAGGGGGGGACGCATCGAACTGGAATCGGCGGTACATCGCCGATAGATCGGCGATAGGCCTCCAATAGCGAATCCGCACCATCCTGGGCAGGTTGGGACTATCGGGCCCCTATCGGCGATCAAGGAGCGTTTGGGGGTCGATGCACCCCTGTCTAGAGGAAGAAAATTACCCTGGCGACGTACCCAACCCCTGCGCAAAAGCGGGGCGCAAATAGTTTAGGATACTTTATAAAGGGGGCGATGACGGAGCGAGGGTTACATATGTCTGCAGACGGAATTCGGGAGACTCGCAGGACACTGGCTACAGGAAAAGGGCTTGATAAAGCTGATGATTTACAATTCCTGAGCACTCCTAGCCACTTCGAAAACGGGGATCACAGCAGGCCTCGAAAGTGGCGACAGGTTCACAGATCGCAGCCCCGCAGGGACGGCGAGGTCTCATTTGAATCTGCCCGTGGCCCTCACTGTGCTGGGCCCCCCAGCAGGCCTCGAAAATGGCGGCAGTTTCGCAGATCGCAGCCCCCCAGGGATGGCGAGGTCTAATTTGAATCCGCGCGTGGCCCTCACTGTGCTGGGCCCCCCAGCAGGCCTCGAAAGTGGCGACAGTTTCACAGATCGCAGCCCCCCAGGGAGGGCGAGGTCTAATTTGGATCTGCCGCGATTACCCTCTATGCTGGACCCCCCAGCAGGCCTCGAAAGTGGCGACAGTTTCACAGATCGCAGCCCCCCCCCCCCAGGGATGGCGAGGTCTAATTTGAATCTGCCGCGATTACCCTCTATGCTGAGCCCCCCAGCAGGCCTCGAAAGTGGCGACAGTTTCACAGATCGCAGCCCCCCAGGAATGGCGAGGTCTAATTTGGATCTGCCGCGATTACCCTCTATGCTGGACCCCCCAGCAGGCCTCGAAACTGGCGACAGTTTCACAGCCCCCCGCAGGCAAGACAGAAAGAGGCAGGAAAGAGGCGGGAGGCGGGAGGAGGAAGGACGCGACCACACTGCTCTATTCAAAACGAATACCCAACCAAGGAGGGTTGGGAAAAAATACCCTGGCGACGTACCCAACCCCTCCGCAAACGCGGGGCGCAAATAGTTTAGGACACTTTATAAAGGGGGCGATGACGGAGCGAGGGTTACATATGCCACCAGACGGAATTCGGGAGACTCACAGGACACTGGTTACAGGACAAGGACTAGATAAAGCTGATTCGTTACAATCCCTGAGCAACCCTAGCCACTTCGAAAGCGGGGATCTCAGATCGCAGCCCCCCAGGGATGGCGAGGTCTAATTTGAATCTGCGTGTGGCGTCACTGTGCTGGGCCCCCCAGCAGGCCTCGAAAGTGGCGACAGTTTCACAGATCGCAGCCCCCCAGGGATGGCGAGGTCTAATTTGAATCTGCGTGTGGCGTCACTGTGCTGGGCCCCCCAGCAGGCCTCGAAAGTGGCGACAGTTTCACAGATCGCAGCCCCCCAGGGATGGCGAGGTCTAATTTGAATCTGCGTGTGGCGTCACTGTGCTGGGCCCCCCAGCAGGCCTCGAAAGTGGCGACAGTTTCACAGATCGCAGCCCCCCAGGGATGGCGAGGTCTAATTTGAATCCGCGCGTGGCGTCACTGTGCTGGGCCCCCCAGCAGGCCTCGAAAGTGGCGACAGTTTCACAGATCGCAGCCCCCCAGGGATGGCGAGGTCTAATTTGAATCCGCCGTGGCCCACTGTGCTGGGCCCCCCAGCAGGCCTCGAAAGTGGCGACAGTTTCACAGATCGCAGCCCCCCAGGGATGGCGAGGTCTAATTTGAATCCGCCGTGGCGTCACTGTGCTGGGCCCCCCAGCAGGCCTCGAAAGTGGCGACAGTTTCACAGATCGCAGCCCCCCAGGGATGGCGAGGTCTAATTTGAATCTGCGCGTGGCGTCACTGTGCTGGGCCCCCCAGCAGGCCTCGAAAGTGGCGACAGTTTCACAGATCGCAGCCCCCCAGGGATGGCGAGGTCTAATTTGAATCTGCCCGTTACCCACTGTGCTGGGCCCCCCAGCAGGCCTCGAAAGTGGCGACAGTTTCACAGATCGCAGCCCCCCAGGGATGGCGAGGTCTAATTTGAATCCGCCCGTGGCGTCACTGTGCTGGGCCCCCCAGCAGGCCTCGAAAGTGGCGACAGTTTCACAGATCG